GATTCTAGGACTCAGTTCTGTTGGGTAGTGGCTAAGCCTTCTTCGTTGTTTCTTCTAGAGTGATCTCCTCTCTTTTTCTAATGTCAGAATCATATGATCATATGATCAGTTACATCCATGATTTATATGAATCTCATCTATATCAGATCTTTCCTACAAGTTTTTTTTCTGTCTGGTTTACATTATTGCAGTAATTTGTTTTTACTTATTTGATCTTTGTAATCATTAATATCATTATTACCATTAATATTATTACTACCTCCTCTCCTTGTCAAAGTCCAAATCTCATAGATTGAGAGAAAATCTGGAACTCTGACTGGATATCCCAAACTATTCACTTGAATACAAAGTCAGAAGTTACAGTCCAACAGGTTTATTTGAAATCACAAACTTTTGGAGCGCTACTCCTTCATCAGGTGAAGTCAAAGGAGCAGCGTTTTGAAAGCTTGTGATTTTAAATAAACCTGTTGGTCTATAACGTGGTGTCATGTTACTTCTGACTTTGTCCACTCCAGTCCAACACCGGCATCTGCACAACACGAGTACAACACTGGGGTGATGGTCTAGCACTGTGTCTGGACCAGTTGTACCCCTGTGCACAATGTGTAATGTCGTGTATTTATGGCTGTCCCACATCCTGTGATAGTCATACTTGGTCTCACTTCTTGGATCCAATGAGATCAATACTTCCAGAAACTATGTACTGCAGAGATATTTTTGAATGCTATAAACACTGAGTGAAAACTTGAATGAACTTAACTACTTCAATCCAATTTGCATAAAAGTCAAGTAGAACCAAATGTATCTTTCTTTTAAAATTGAATAAATCTTGATGAAATTGTTAGTTCAATATGCACTTGGCTACATATGCCACACGTTTTGACGTGACAAAATGTAATCCTCTACGTCTTTTGTAATACTTGACTACCACACTATTATAGCCTTGCAATGTATTTTAGACATACCCATACCCAATGGAGCTTCTGTAGCATTTCATTTTGCATCAAATTGATTAAAACCATTGTTTGGTAGTATAACAACAAATTTTCTATTATTGTTTGTTTGTGATACTTTTACAGCACTTGGTTTATTAAATTACATTTCAACCTCCTTTGCAGGCATAGTTTTATGACCTTTTCACACTACTGGGCAGATTTAAAAGATATGTCCATCATTTCCTGGTAATGTTCGCTCTTGCCATGGAATAAAAATCTCCCTCCTCTATTGCAATCAGATTTCCTTTAACAACTCAATCCACTACTTTCTATGAGACTATATCTGCCATTATTTGTATCTTGCCTGGAACATTGATGGTATATTCCATTATATACTTCTTCAGCCTAAAGCTGAATCTTTGAATGCATAGAGATTTTTCAAAATTTCTTTCAATTGCAATAGTTTTACCAAAGGCTGGTGGTTTATCTTGACCCAGATGTTCAGGCCCATGAGTTAGTCTGTAACTGCTAATGCTTCCTAATGTGTAAATCTGTTAAGTTTTCAGCAATACAAAATGGACAAGTTTTTATGTGCTGTCAGTTTTCACTTCAATAAGTGCTGTTCTAAGTGCTATGTTTTTGGTTGGGCTAGAGTGCTGGGTCCTTTCAATGCTGGGTCTATTGCCTTTGCAGGCAACTGGAGTAGAAGATAACCCACTAGTGAGTCCAAACAGGGGTCACAGTATGAGGATTCAGGATAGACCATTTAGGACGGAGATGAGGAGACATTTCTTCACCCAAAGAGTGGTGAGCCTGTGGAATTTGTTACCACAGGAAGTAGTTGATGCCAAAGCATTAAATGTATTCAAGAGACAACTAGATATCACACTTGGGGCAAATGGGATCAAAGGTTATGAAGAGAAAGCTAGACTAAGCTATTGAGTCGGACAATCAGCCATGATTGTGAAGAATGGTGGGCAGGCTCAAAGGGCTGAATGGCCTCCTCCTGCTCCTATCTTCTATGTTTAACAAGAAGAAGCACTTTTCTTAACAACACAAATCTAAATCATTGCATAATAGCAAAACGTACAAGTTGCATTGCCTGGTTAGACATAATTACTATGACTAATAGGATACAGAAATGGTATGTCTGACCCCATCAACATCTACTTCTAGACTCGTCAATTTTATATCCATAACAATATGACATCATCAGATTGGGTGGAGTATGATGTTCAGAGCCATCACCTTATATAACAAATAATGTATCTGAGCCTATTATTGTGAACAAGGCTGGATTACAATATGCTAAATTGTCAGTAGAATATAGTTTCTTTTTAATCCTTTCAAAAGCTGCAAAGTATTCTTGACCCCAATATCATTGCTGAACTTTTTTTAAAACAGAAGAATTCTCATGGGTTGAGTAAGTTAAGTAAGGTATACCCTTTCCCATTTCATTCACTAAACCTTAGAAACTTTGTACATCATTTATACATTTCAATGCCACAAATTTACTCAGGGCTGACATCTTCATTGCATATGCAATGAATCCTTTTTTCATGGATATGTGTCCTAGAAATGTAATCATCATCCTTGAGAATTGCTACTTCTCATTTAGTGTACAGCATACTTTTGTAGTGTCTTTAAAGGTTCCCCCGATTCTCTGGCCATGTTCCTTTTGCATTTTATCACGTACTAGCATATCATTCATTTGAAAAAATGGCTCGCTGTTTCCCTTCCAGGATTTTGGACGTTGTGCTTTTGGAAAATCTCTAGTGCCTAGGAGATCCCAAATAAAGATGGTTGAAGCAATTTTGCTTGAATGGTACAATAAATAGTGTCAGTAATCTTGACTCCTAGTCTAAGGATATCTGCCAAAATTCATTGTTTCCAACCAACCTTGTGAAAACTTGCTCATTGCCAGTTTGGCAAGCTATTTTTGACAGGTAAAATAAGCTGAGTTTCTCCTCCTAACTGGAGATCTGTACCTCCTGAATCTTAGAGTTTATGTTAGGGCTGACATGCTCAGTCCTAAACCATGGTGAACTGCCTGTCAGTATTGAAACAACTTGCTCCTGTGTAACGTTTATATTCTGTTTCAAAGCCTTTAAGTTGGTTGTCCAGAATCTGTTCTGACTCGCTGTAACCCGTTCTAATTGCCCTCACCTTTTGTTCCGTATCTTTAAATACTTGAACTTTTTCCTTCTTGTGTGATTTCCAGTCTCATGTATTTTGGGCTGTGGGTGTCTGAGCAGACACTGTCACTGAGGCTACTTGCTCTGTATCTTTAATTGAGATTCTTTAACTCCTTATGTACTCTTTGTCATGCTTTAATTTATGATTGTACACAGTAGGCTCTCAAATGCATCTCTCTAGAGTAATGTCTAAGACATCTCTCTTCACATCCAGATTCTAAACTGGTCTTTTCTTTCTTACTGATGTCAGAGTCATGTTACCAATTACTTCATCCTGATTTATTTGAATATCATTATATAATGCATGCTGCCTTTGAAAAGTACCATATAAATGACATTTTCTTTTAATTTCAGTGTTTTACACAATGAAGTGTTTTCTTCCTTTGCTTTAATGGCTGGTACAGTGTGCACAAATGATCTGACCAATAATCTGTACAAAATAAAATGATGAATAATCAGTTAATCTTGGAGTGTTGGCTCAGAGAGGAATGTCAGCTGAAGTATCTGGAAAATTCTTGATCCTCTTGAAATATATTCCATGGGATTCCTTAATATTCATTTGGACAAATGGATTGTTGGCCTTTCCAACAATGCTGCAACGAAGGACAAGCTTTGTTTATGTTTGTGAATCCTGATCTGGGGCTAAGAACTACAGCATTCTAACCAAAGTCATATCTGCATTCACCTGAACAAAGTTTACACCAATGTTATCAATCAAAGTACCACCAATTAAATTAAAGAAATGATTTTGTTTGTTAAAGAATGCTGAATGGAAACATTAACACAAAACTGCTGATGTGATTCAACTGTAGCAATTTAACATTTTTGCAATTGATAATATTTTATACAATTATTGGCGTAAAGGTGGAATAATTTAAATATACAATTTATGTTACATTTTTATGAACTCCGCCTTGTTTAAAACACAGCTACTGAGTATCGGACTTAGTGGCAGCTTTCGCATTTGATTCAGATCGTTCGGGGTTCAAATCCCATTCTAGAGACTTCAGCACCTGATGCAGACATATTTATCTTTCTACAAATATTACTAAAACAGAATATCTGTTCCTGCTATTTGATTTTGTGGGACCTTGTTTGCACAAATTGACTGCCACTTTTCTATATATGATGGCAGTGTTTACTTAATCCACTATCATGTGCTTTGATTGGAATACCGCAAGGTAACAAAAATATGATATAAGCTCCCACACGTTCTAAAGACAGAATTCCCAGCCAGTTTATAGGCCAATTGGCCAAATGATCAGTTTTGTACAGCTATAGTTTAAGTGCACCTATGATAGGGTTACGGTTTGGCCCCAAGGAACTCGCTGTTCTTCTTCAAACAGTACATCATCCAAAACTACAGAAGCAGCCCGATGAAAGGCCTCAGGTTATTATCTAATCCAAAGGAACGCCTCCAACATTGTGGTCCCCTTTCAAGTCTACACAGAGGTGACAGCATGGCTTGTGTCCTAAAATAGAGCTGTCAAGTAAAACACACATTGTGTTGACTTGGAGACAAGCATTCTACTGACTAAACTGAGCTTTCAGCAGTATTTATGCTTGACAGTCCATGTCACCAGTTTTGATAGAGAACCTTCTGTTCTTGCACAGACTCTGTTTTCAAAGTCACATGCAGTAGAGGAGCAGAAACAATAGGTTAAGGGTACTATTGGACATATCTGCTTCTCCCTGCTGACAGATCTGCTGAGTTTCTCCAGTATTTTCTGTTTTTTTAATTTCAGAAACAGTGGTGTGTTGCTCTAATTTGCTAAAATCGACCTTGAAGCAACTCTAAGAAAGACAAGGGCCGGGTATGTCCTGGAAACAAAGTTTACATTGAACGAACTAATTATTGCGTGTTTTCCAGTCTGGCAAGGGAGAGATCAATGGAAGATGATGAGGAATTTGAGAAAGCTCGTCGGCGCCAGGCCAGACTGAGTAATTCAGTACCAAATAATGAAGATATTGCTGAAGAACAGCATACGTCTGAAAACAGGTACAAATATTATAATTAAACAGTCTTGTAAAAGAAAAATATAAATTAATTTTAATTGGGAGCAAGTGGTGATCAAAAGGGTAGAACTCCTGAAGTAAAATGCTGCCATAACAGGAGATTCCATAATGAGGGGATTTGACATGCACTTCTGCTGCCAAAAACTGACACTCCTAGATCCATTGTATCCCTTAAATGCCAAGATAAGGAATGTCATGGAGTGGGTGAGAAAGATTTTGAAGAGGAAAAGGGGTCAATCAGAACTGGCAGTTAGTGTTGGAACCAGCAATATTGAAAGAAACAAAATTGAAGTCCTACAAAGTGAATATCAGCAATTTGAAAATAAATTTGGAAATAAAGTCTTGAGGCCTTGATTTTCCTTCCTGTAATAAGGGAATGTATCTTAGTCTTATTGATTACTTGCTGTACATTAACCTTTTGTGACACATGCACCAGAACACCTGAATCTTTCTGTGCCTTGGATTTCGACAACTGTTCCCTATTTAAGTACTACTCTGCTTTTTTATTTATTCTTCCTGCCAAAGGAACTACTTCGTATTTTCTCGCATTGTACTCCATCTACCAGATTTTTGTGCACTCACTCAACCTATCCGTATCCTTCTGCATGACATATTTTCTAATATAATTTGTGTCATCTGCCTTCACTTCCCTCATATGCACTGTAAAACATCAAGGCCCCCAGCATGGACCCCTATTAGATTACCTATGGTAACTGCCCCTCAGAAGAGCTGTGAAATGTAATCTGATTTAGGAATCATTTGAATGGTAATTTTTCAAGATTTTAGGCAATTTCCTTTTCCCCTCTGTGCCAACTCATGCCACACCACTCCCTTACCCTTTCCCATGCACCTGATGCCCTCCATACTAACTCAAGGTTTGCCCCTGCAACACATGGACCCTTATAGACCCCATGCACCACATACCACCTCATGCCTTCCATGTCCAATTTCCCAATATATAAGATATACAGTGACCAATATAATAAAAATATCATGTGTACAATTGCTCAGAAAGGCAAAACACCAACTCTCAAAAGTGACAGCAAAATGAGAAAAAAAAGTTCTTCTCCTGCAATGAATGGTTCTGAGCTAGATTGCCAAAGCTGAGAATATGATGGAGGCAGGTTGATTTGAGGCTTTCATTATCTGAAAAAGAAAATTCCCAGTCTAATGGGGAGTGGGGGGGGGGGGGGGGGGGGGGGGGGGGGTGGGGAGGAGAAGCCCAGTGGGGGGGGCGGGTAAAAGAGAAGGGGGAC